ACAGATAACGAGCTTGCTTTACTCTAGGTGCCGGACAACTCGGGATTGCCTGGAAATGAGACATCTGACCCTTTTGCCACAGTTGGCTTAGACCAGGCATTCCTCGATCCGCAACCAGTTATAGCATTCCTCACTTCGGCCATCGAAGCCACCATCAGAACCTGGGTGGATACTTCGCTCAGCAATGACTGGGAGTCATGGAGTGGATGCAGGTGGGCAAAACTCATGTTGCCTTCAATCTCAGAAGGTCTATCTAGTTTTTTCCTCTCACTGAGAAGACGGGACTGATGACTGGTCACTTCACGTGCCACAAACACCTGACTGTGATAGGCGTAAATGACAAGTCCATTTGCCCTTCTTTCCTTGAAAAGGATGAGACGGTGGAACACTTTTTGTGCTTCTTGCTTGCTTGGTTGTTTGTTATCAATTTTTCTAGATTTGTTCTTTTCTCTATTGTCAGTTTCTGAATAAAAAGATTAGCGTAAAAAGCTTAGCCGTTTTGTTGTTTTAAGTTTTGTGTTTTAAAAATGTGAGTGATAAATATTTTTTCCGTCACTTTAAAACTCGGTGAGATAAAAATAAAAATGATGCCATCAACACAAATAAAAGGTTTGACAAATACATCACGTGCAAATTCACGAGTGTGGCGAACGTGTGAGGAGTTTATTTATTGCTCTTAAGAAATGTAACTCCTCAGACCGAGATAGTTCTTTCATGGCTTTACGAGCTCTGCTTTTTAAAACTTGCAAGTGTGTAATCACATTATTGTATTAAATAGAACACAGGAAAATATTTTATTTTTATGTTTGCCACTCCGAATTTAGTTTTGGGACTCACCCGCGATGCAGAATGACATCGTTACATTTAATCTTCACATTTTTTGATGAGCTATGGGAATAATTTATAAATTAGCATCAGGGGGTCCACCGAAACCAGTAAAATTTTGAAACGGGTCTACGAGAAAAATAAGTTTGGGAACCTCTGGTGTATTATGTAATATACCTCTGCAATTTTGTAAGATAAACTAAAAATGTATACATCGTTTTAAGCTGTAATTATTTATCGAGCTAGCATTTCCTAGTATTATTTTTGAATATATAAGAAAAAATTTGGAATTTGCATACCTGGCTACGCCCCATGAAGAGCCATCTCATCAATTATTTTCATTGTCCATGCTTCTACGCCAAGGCGAATTTATACAAGGTGGTGTTAACAGAATAAAAAAAATTACAATTACAAATTATACGCACATTGATCTGTAGCTCGTTTCTGTAACAATTCTCTACAAAGGCGAATTGAGATATGAATTCGCCGCCCTGTTCTCTACTGCTAATTAGTAGGTGAGAGTGACGTATTTTCTCTACCAGTAGAGAAATAATCGGTAGAGAAAAGTTACAGAAACGGGCTACAGTACAAAACAAAATTACAACAAACACGTAATTTTGACAAAAGGTACAAATTCGCCGTAAAATCAGCGGATCCGATAGCCTTGCTTCTACGCCATACACCAGGACGGACATGTAGCTCGTTTCTGTAACAATTCGAATTGAGATATGAATTCGCCGCCCTGTTCTCTACTGCTAATGAGTAGTAGAGAATGACGTATATTCTCTACTAGTAGAGAAATAATCGGTAGAGAAAAGTTACAGAAACGAGCTAATGATGAGTTGACTTAAATAAACTAATAATGGTGATTTCGTTTCTTCCAAAAAATTTTGCCTTTTGAGTGCCCCTTTCTCTTTTCGTGTTTCATTCTAAATTAAAGGCAAACGGTGAGAAAATTGTGTGCTCGCTTCTTAAAACGTCTCACTCTTTTAATGCAAAAAGGCACATTCTCTCCCCTGTGGAGCTTTGTCAGGGGTGATGGTTGACCTGAAAATCAAATGGTTGTTTAAAACGACATTATTTTGAAATGCGTTAGCTAGACAAGTACAAGAAGGCAAAACAATGCCTTTTCACAGGGTTGAGTGTGACGTCAAACACATTTGCACCGGGGAAGGGTAAAATTTTTTGGAAGAAACGAAATCACCATAATTCGTCTACTTTTTCGAAATTACAGGTGTCAATTCTCAGTCGCGTATGCGCTGACTGTTTGTCTGATGACAGGAGATACATCGTTTTGTCCTCATTCACTATCAGACCCAAGCAATTTGCTTCTCCATCTAATTTCGAGAAGGTATAAAAGACGCAATGATTGTTTGAACGGATGATTTCCATGCAATTCTTCAGAAATCACATGAAAGGGAGTCGCCCTGTCTGAAACTTCGTTTGGTATCAAACCTCCTGCCCAGTGCGGCCGCGAATCATTTTTAGTGGTAGCCAAATTCCTTAAAAAAAATGGCTAAAACGAGCTAAAAAACGTTGTGGCTAAAATTTTTTACTGACGTATACGTATAAGTATACCCGCTAACATTTTCAATAAGTAATGGCATAGAAAAACAATGAACTCTGAAAAAAAAACCTAATATTTTATCCAACCAAACACCTTTTTGTATAAAAGGTGCAATATACGACACCAGCTTGCTGGCTCCATCAAGTGATTGTACCATCAGGCTCGACGTATATAACTAACTGGTACATTATTTATTGCTTTAAAAATGAGGTCCAGGAAAGATCGAAATGATTAGAGCCGAAATTTCATAATTTTTCTACCATTTTGTTAAACATTATTTTTTTTTAATTCACAACTGTAATATCGTGAATGTAATCTTCCACAAACACGGCTTTGACTCATATAGTGCAAGAAATTTCCGCAAAAATACTTTTTACTTAGAAAAATTAGCTAATTTTACCACTCACGACACCAGCATGCTGGTACAATCATAAAATTTTCAAATAGTTTTTTAGGTCGCACCAGCAGCTCAACACCACAAGAACATACACAGTAAGGAACATACAATACATATATGTATATATATCAGTCTTTCTTAGTTTAAAAATTCATCTCTTACATAAATGAAAAAAAATCAGATCAAATTAAGCATATACAACATTTTCATGCCAAATATGAATAAATTCTCCAAAGGGCTATAAAAGGGCTAGGGGCAGTTTTAAATTTATGTGACCAAAAAAAGTATGTGGTAGCTAATCTAGCCACCAAAGGGCTTAAACGGCAACACTGCTCCTGCCGTATTATATTCGTTGTGATACCAAATTCCAACATTGCGGCATAAGGGCAGCTTATTTTCGTGCGGTCGAAAGCGGCTTTGAAATCGACAAATAAATGGTGTGTGTCGACCTTAAGCTGATGCCACATAAAACTTTCGCTTCGCTTTACGTGACAGATTCGCTTTGACAGGTAAGATGAATTGTATGAAAATGCACAAAGCATGACACATAAATCGTTGAAGCTGCAGCGCGAAGCGAAAAGATGGCCAACTCCCATCTTTTTGCGCGCTTTGACAATCAGCCGATTTAATATTTATTTTGTTTCGTCCAAATTCGGGTTTTCATGCAGAAACATAAAACTTAATTACATTGCTGATAATTTTAAATCAAAATAATTAAAATCCACAGCAACTTTGATGAGTAAAAAAGCGGTACAACATTGTTTTCTTGGCGTTCATTGTGGCATACCTTTTGCGTCTGGCGCTTTGCTGGCAAAGTTATAAATGTCACGCAAAGCTACAAAGTTTTATCTGGCATCAGCTTTACTCTCGCGGGTAGGGTTCGAACGATACTATCGATATTGAGTAAGTATCGATACTGAGGGTTTTAAAATGAGTACTTTAATACTCGATACCTTATTTGGTGAATTTACTCGATACTTTCCAAAGTACTCGTAGTATCGAATACTTTTTAAAAAACACACTTTTTAAATTTTTTCATCCATTGCTTTCTTTGCTTATATGGATTACTATCATTCAATTTTGTCCATCACTTAAATCAAACTGAAATTGCGTGTAGTCTGTTGCATAACCTAAACCAAATAAGTTAACGTTTAATGGCCTTATTCTTAAAAAATAAAGTAAATTTAAAGAGCTTAATAAAATGACATTTTCATAAATTTTTCAGTTTATAAACCTTTTTTATTTTTTATGAATACGGCCATAAAACTTTACGTAAAGTTCACGAAAATGCAGAATTTTTAGAAACTTTTTGGGTACGCAGTTTTGTAACCTATTTAGATTTACGTGTATCCTACTACGATTGAAAAATAAAATAATTTTAGTATCCCAAAAAATGTATTTTAATGAGTCCGATACTGAGTAGTATCGATACTTTTTCCCTGAGACTTTTAGAGTATCGATACCATGAGCTCGATGCCAGAATGAGTACTCAGTATCGATACCAAAGTCTGGAATTTCGAACCCTACTCGCGGGTCTCTTCGAATATTTGGCATATGATGTGGTCTAAAGCCACACTAATAAGGCCGAATCAGTTCGTTGGTGGTGGGCTTGTCTTTCACACAATACGCTAGATAAGACCTTATATCCGATGCTTAGAAGGCTGATCCCGCGATAGTTGGCACGTATGGAGTGGTCGCCATTCCTGAGAATTGGCTAGAGCACACGCAATTTCCAATCGTCGAGAATGCGTCCATCATACCATACTCTGCTATTCGTACCTCTCAGATTCAGGCGGTGAGAGATCTCTTCCCTCTTTATCGATAGGGCGTTCGAGTTTACCTTCTCCACTACTTTCAGTGCTGTTACCTCTTTAGAGAGGTGGAAAGGTGTTTCCCCTATAATTTAAGTATGTTCTGAACATCAGGCACTAGATAGCACTGGTTGACAGCTGTAGTATACGTCGAAAGGCCTTAAGACTTTTCCGGGTCCGGACATTCCAGGTGCATGCTCTCAAATCGTAGTACTTTGTACTTTTGTCATGCTCGTCATCAAAATAAGATCCTTTCCGAGGCTTTATTTTACCTTTCAGTGGAGTTTTTTTTTTACGTGGCCAGTGTTCGGTCCACCCAGATTTTCAAGATTTTGTGACTTTTGTTTTGTGGGCTATGCAATTCAAAAATATTTTTATTGTATTTGTGGCTATTTTTTAGGGTTCGGTTGCATGTTGGCTGCCATTACAACGTCGTATACAAATGGACGAGACTGGCTGGACAATCTTACGAATCTTATCACAACGTAATAATGATGAAGTGGCCAAAGAGTTTGTCAAACTAAAATCAGAAATACGCCAGGAACCTATGATGGGCACATAACTCGATTAAATTGTTGCAATATCGGAAAATATTTAATTACTAAAATAAAGTAATTAAATTTGAAACTGAATGTAAAAATTAATTAACTAATTAACAATATATAAATTCATATCGTCGTTTAAAGTACAAAACCGTGTATCAAGATAATGCAAAACCGCGTATATGAGGTTGCTTAAATTTTACAATAGGGCTTAAAAACATCTGATTTCAAAACGGTTCTCTGTTTTATAAAAGAATCATATTGCAGGCTAATTTTATAAATCGACATTTTGGTAAGAATGGGTAAGGCTTGATGTCAGGAAATTCCGGTGAACAAATCTAATTTTTGGCACAAATGTCAGTTACGCGGTTTTGCAGAACGACGATACGCCGTTTTCTACTTTTAGCGACGATATACTGTAATAATATTGCAAATAATAAGTACCAATATTAATATAAAATATATTTAATAGTAATAAAAAAAACACAATACACGGTTATATGTATATGTCATTACACGGTTAATACCATTACTATTAAATTTTTAAAATACAGAAAATAAAAATATATTACGACATTAAATCTTATTTATTAAACAACAACTCCTGCTGTAACTATTATAACTATGATTTTAATTTGTACAACTATCGGAAGCAATTAAAAAATCGTACGTTAACATTTACATATATATATATGAATGTGTAAATTTGCAAAACATACATATATATGTATGTCCATGTGTATTTGCTACAAATTCATTTGCACAATATTGCCAGTTAATGATTAAGATCAAAACTAAACATGTACATATACATACATACATATATAATAAACAAAAGCCGAAAATCCAAATAAACAAATCATTAATAAAATAATGCGTCTTATCAAATTTGGGCATGTGTTTCTACACTGACACCATTAAAAAAACAACCTGCCACAAGCGGCATTCTGTTTGACTATCCTTTCGCTAAAATCGTTTGAACAGTGCTAACATCATGACCCCTGCGCTTTCACATGCGCCACGGAGATTTGTGTAAGAGCGCCGTTGGCATTGTAGAAACCCCAAATACGATTATTGGTTTCACAGGCAATAGATATGTGCGTGGAAACACCACTCTTGCTAAAGTTTTAAACTTGCTAATGCAACCGTGTTCGAGATTTAAGGCCCCGTCAGATAGAAATTCTTTTCTGCGTCACGGGGACGCTTTTAACTGCCATTGAAGTTAACTTTGTGACTTTGAGTAGAAGACGCCACATTGGCAACGCATGCATTGCCGAAACTGATTAAAATCGCCCAACTCTTAACTTTTGACGCGCGTCAATGAAGCAAAACGATATATATGAGACGAATTCAAACCACCTGACTCTTTGCCAATCAAAATGAGCAGTTTTGTTTGCGGCCACGTTTTCATTGTACCGCCTCGCACCTTATCAGTCAAAAGCATCCCTGTGACACCAAAAAGAATTTCTATCTGGCGGGGCCTTTAGAGCGATAATTTTGACATTTCAAGCATTAGCAGAACTTTGTACATCTTTCAGTCTTATTGGTAATAAGCGTAAAACTGTACACACGTGCACCTACAATTATTGGAAATACCAAAGATATTTCAAAAAATTATCAACATTAATACATCTGTATTAAGGATCTTGCGAATGTGGAATTTAGACATCCGCGGATGAGAAGGCGGATGCGGATGCTTAAAAGCTAACATCCGCGGATGCGGATGCCAATGCGGACGTCAAGTATTTTTAAAAAAAAATTAAGGTGAGTATATTAGGTGATTTATGTAAATAAAAAAGGAAAAGTCAGTAACTTTTAATAATTTTTTTATTTTATTTAGTACCTGATTTTAGAAATTGGAACATTTTATTTAATAAAGAATAATTTTGCTGCCTTTTCGGGTTACAGCCTGTTTCTAAAGGGTCGTGAATCTAATCTGCGCCACTAAATAGCTACTCGCTCGAGACGACAAACTTGAAACTTGACAAAATTGTAAATTCTTTTCGATTGACGCTGAACAAGTTGAGAGGACTTTCAGTTATATTTTTTTTTATTGCGGTGCAATAATTCCTTTTTGAGAATTGCATCGGGACTGCAAATGTCGATGTATCCTTCTGACTTTCATCTTCACAATCTAGCATCATGGTAAGATCGTTGTTTAAACACCGCTGTTTTCCAATATGGAGAACCAATCCTTTTGGTTGTTTCGGAATTTGGAGAACCTATTACGTCATCGGCGTTTTTCGATTTTAGTTTTTGTAATTCATTTTTAATCCTGTCTTCAGTGGCTCGTTCAAAAAAATATAATAATAACACAGGCCGCTAATTTTCCAAAGGTTTTTGATGCGCTGAATCTGAATCCCGAATCAGTTTTGCTCGATTGGCTCAGGTTTTCGAGATATTGGAGCCTAAACATGCGAAAACCCCGACTTTTTGCTATATTCGTCATGTATTTTCATCAAGAATAGTTCGTTTTTTTAGAAAACGTAATAAACCATTTGAAAGTAAAATATTTCCCCTTGATAATGCTGTTTAACTCAACGAGATATCTTGTTTTAAACCTGAGATATTGTCCATTGAAGTTCATGAGTTTTGCGACATTACTGCTTTGCACAAATGCTTGAAAGATACAACACGAAAAGAAACAGATTTGTGGTATACGTTTATGCGTCTGTAAATAATTACATAATGAATGTATGTTTATAAGTGCGCGTGCATAGAGAAAACTTATTTCGTTTTAGAATTTAATGAAGAAATTAATGCATGAAAAATTCTCTAGGAATTTCATTTGATATTATACATATAATATACATGATATATATATGATATACATGATATATAATATATGTACATGATAATTTACACATACATTCATTATGTAAATAAAGATGCCTAAACGTATACCACAAATCTGTTTCTTTTCGTGTTGTGTCTTTCAAGCATATGTGCAAAGAAGTATTGTCGCAAAACTCACAAACTTCAATGGACAATATCCCAGGTTTAAAACAAGATATCTCGTTGAGTTAAACAGCATTATCAAGGAGAAATATTTTACTTTCAAATGGTTTATTACATTTTCTAAAAAAAACGACATATTCTTGATGAAAATACATGACGAATATTGCAAAAAGTCGGGGTTTTCGCTTGTTTATGCTCAAATATCTCGAAAACCTGAGCCAATCGCGCAAAACTGATTCTGGATTCAGATTCGGCGCAACAAAAACCTTTAGAAAAGTACAAGCTAGTCACAGGGTCTGAACTTTTTTTAAATTTTGTAGGCCTGTGTAATAGATTGGCGATTACACATATGTTAGTGTTTGGCCGAGCTTCTCCTCCGACTTGTGGCGTGCGCCTTGATGTTGTCACACAAAGCGGAGGGACCTCCAGTTTTACGCCGACTCCGAACGGCGATTGTATTGTTATGAGAAGCTGTTTTTCATGGCAAAAATACCCTCGGAGGTTTGCCATTGCTTGCCGAGGGACGACCGCTGTTAAGAAAAAACATTTTTCTATATATGTGTGCTTATAGCGGGGCTTTAAATAGGTGGGCATGGCAAATAAATTGTTATTTTCTAGGAATGAAAATTTCGAAGAAAATTCTGTTTTAAAAGTCGTGGCTGCCAGCCGAATTAGTTTAAAATCTTGTTATTTTGTTAAAATCTCCCCGTTTATTAAAATAATTTGAATTATGGGAATCACGGACGATGAAGATCTCAGATCTGCTTAGTTCCCAGGTGATTTTTTGGAAAGGTTCACCTGTAATGAATAGCTTGTAACTAGTTTTTTTTATTAGCCGAGCTCGATTTTTCCTTGTTGCAGGCAATCCCAATTAGTTGCGATCCCGTACGAGTCCGGACTAGTCAGAAATAGTCAGAATCAGTCAGAATTTACTCGGTTCTCTGACTACTGAGGGGACAAAAAAAGAGTAAATACGGTTCTCTCTCTGTCAGAAGTTACCAGTTTTGGTCCGAGAATTTTTTGCTGGTAAATTCTGGTAAATGTGTCAAACGATCAGCTGTAGTGTGTTTGGCAACCAAATTGTAAACAGAAGAAAAGTGCACTCTGCTAATTCATGTTGAAAAATATTTAATTACTTGTTTCAGTGGATTCTAATGAATTTGAAAGTATTTTTGGTTATTTACATGTGTGAGCTGAGTGTGTTTACATACAAAATAAGCAAAAATTTACAACCAAAATTTGGAGGTTATGTTGAAGTTGACAGAAGTTGCCATTTTTTACTAGAAAGCGATCCCGTACTTTTCAATGTTACTCTCTCGCTCTGAGCGAATTTTTATTTTTTGACAGTTTTACTAGTCCGAGTCCGAGGAATACGGGATTGCACCTATTAATTACTCACCGCTGTCGGTACCATAAGCTAGGGATGCACAGCAGAGGTGCACGCAGTCGACGTCGCGGGCAAACTGCGAGCACGCGAGCGTGCTAGGCGAGGTGAAGTGAGCAGTGTTGCCGCGCCGTCTAAAGAAAATGTATCCTTGACCAAGCCAAAAATGTATCCAAATGTATCCAATTTTCTTTTTTTACATATACATCTCATAATTTGTAAGAAAACCAAACATTTTCATGAAAAAGACATAATTTAACCCATCTTAAGGACTTGGAATACATGTGCATAAAATGAAACATTTGTAATTTCAATTTATAAAGTACATTTTTTGTGCATAAGTATTTTGCAAAGTAAATATAATAAATAGCAAGCACACTCTAAAAAGAGCATGTAAAACTACTACTGAAAAGTACCTATTTTTCAACAAGAATCTGTATAAATATACGTATAAGATGTTCAGTATTTGATTTTGAACTTGAGATATTTAAAATATACACATAAATACACATTTATAGAATGTTTAAAATTGCAAAAATTTTCAAACTACAAATACATTTGAGTAGTCTACTTGCAAAGTGCGCTATGTAAAATTTTTTCGATTCTTAGTTTTTGGCGGATTACGTACCAGTATTTAAAGTAGTTTCATGTCCACTAACAACAGAGTGCAAAATCTTTTTATATTCTGAAAAAATAGCACCAAATGTTAAGTTTTCTTCCAAAAGTCGCTATCATACTTATTTATGAACTTTCAAAAGTATCAATCTTCTGATGAACTTAGAAAGCTGCTTTAGGTAGTATAGACTGTTAATGCTATCTTATGACATGTTATGTTATGTTACAATTTTATAAGACTCCTATTTATCCAAATTTTCAGGTAATAATAAAAAATATTCAATTTAAATGTTACTTGTTGTCGTAGTCGCTTTTTCAAATTTATGGCTTTCTATTATAAAATCACATAACACTGTTTGCAAGTGGACTACTCATTTCCTACTAATAATAAACATTACTTTATTTTAAACATGTTATTGTAATTTTGCTCTTGCGACAAATTTGGTATGTAAGAGTAAACAGGCAATGATTAATTTTATTACACGGCGTGCGAATTTGCACACATTAAAAGAGGAAACTGGTTACCTCTCTTAATATGCGCAAATAAACAAAAAAATTTAAAGTGTATTTAAAGTCTTTTCAGTAAAATTCATAAAAGTTTCCTTAGATAAATC